TAATAATAATAATAATAATAATAATAATAATATTAGACAGAATGCATAACCATTAAAGATTCATGTCAGAATTAAAGCTCAAACTGTCACAAAGATTCAATGATTTCAACTCGAGAGAAAGAAAAAAACACTTGCATCTGTAGTTTTTCACACTTCTACGGTGATAAGTTGATGAGAATTATATACTTTTATCAACCTCAATAAACCCTGACCTCATGTTACCAAACACGCATTCAAGCACTTTAGTAACACTTCTTCTCATCTGTCCTCAGTTGCAAATATTAACACGTGTGAATCAGATGGCAAACAGAACAGCCTCGCAGCAGCGACGGAGCCGTGGAGCTCAGCCTCTCTGCCGCTCTGCGGTGAGTAACTCGGTTTATTTTTACGTGCAGTTTCAGAACTTTCTGCAAAGGTTGCAATTTTGCCCCGTTTTTTTCTTAATATCTTTTTTTAAGAGGAGCTTTGTTTGGAGCTGTCGAGGGCGATCGAAGCAGGCGACGCTCAGRCCGCCTCCCAGCATGCATCTGCACTGGCTCGACAAAAAGCAGTGCTGACGATACAGCCGTCTCAGAAAAACTACGCCGAAGGGGAAGTCAAGTGAGGATCGAAAGGCATCGATTCAAAGTCATTTGTGATGTTTTAAAGGTGACTGTGTGGGTTGAATTACTGTGAGCTATTTGTGTTGCAGCCTGTCGGTGGTGGTGGAGGATGCTTCGTCTTCCTGTTGTGTCACAGTGAAAGTTTTCCCCTACATGACCGTGGCKGAACTCAAGCAGCAGGTGAGGAAACATCGGAGCAAAATAAATCAGAKTTTGTTGAACTCGTCATTCACCGGTTCCCACGGCGGCCGTTTTCCTCCAGGTGTTTCTCGAGTACGGTTTCCATCCTCGAGTGCAGCGCTGGGTGATCGGTCAGTGCCTGTGCACCGAGCCCAGGTCGCTGGCTTCGTACGGGGTGCAGAAGGATGGCGACACGGCGTACCTTTACCTGATCTCTGCCCGTCAAGCTAACATCACGCGCCAGCTGTTCCAGCAGGACCTGGAGAGCGCTCTTCTTGTAACACCTCTTCCCCCGGGCAGCRGCTCCACCTCCCAGGACTGGAGGGGCTACAGCACCCTTCCCTCAAGACTTCCTCACAACAGCCCGGGTGAGTTTAACAAACTGCTGTCAGGATTCTTTACTATTTAGGCTGCAAAACATCTGCAATATGCAAATWGTTTTTTTTTACTTGTCTATGTTTAGCTGTTGTTGCCATTTTGTTCTCAAGTGAAATGATAACAAACACTCTACTTTCACTAGTGACTACTTCAAAACCAATACCTCCTCTTTGCTGTAACCAGAGGTGACAAGTAACAAAGTACAAATACTTTGTTGCTTTACTTAAGCAGAAATTTTGGTTATTTTTGTTTAATTTGTATTTGCATGAGTAACTGTTTGAGGAGCTGAATTTTTATTTTTGTTTTACTTGGTTTATTATTGTTTGAAATTAATATTTTTTGTTAATAGAAGCAGATATCAAGATCTTTTTCTTCTTCTGCTGCCTTTTATTTTACTTTATTTGTATTGTTTTGTTGTATGTAATGTTTTTTTGTTTTTTTTAATGAAATGAATAAATACTAAAAAATGTCTGGGTATGTATGTTTCTACTCCTTACATTGTAAAAAATGTAAGTAGAAATAAGTATTTTATTTTGGCTTTTTATGGTTCAAAAAAAAAAAACTAACTAAAAAAAAAAAAACTAACCAAATAAGGCACCTCCCAGAWAGGGTAGATTTGATTGTGACTGGATGAGAAATATAAATACGAACCATTCTGACACCTTGGTTTGTACTGGATCTGTCACACCTGTATGACACATCACACTTCAGCAGGACACAGCAGACAAATGAAGATGACCGTGGCAAAGATTTACTTTATACATGGAAACAGGTAGCCTAGTGCATCCCAAATTTCCAACTAATTAATATAGCCATTTAAAAAAAAAATGAGGAGGCAGGGTTGTACACTAAAGACTCCTGTGGCATGGCTTAAACTTTTGTCCTTAATTACTCTTTTCTTTACCTTTCTTTTATTTTTATACTTTATGCAGTTTTAATACTAGTACTTTAACACCTTTACTTGAGTAAAAAGCTTGATTTGATACTTCTACAGAATGTATTTAAACCCTAGTATGTATTCTTCTACCTGAGTGAATACTTCTGACACCTCTGGCTGTAATTGTACTTACATTGATCTCTGTAGTATCACAGCTTTTAGTTTCAGTTTAGAATTTAGAGCTTGTGTGTTTATATTTTTCTGTACATTCAGATCCTTCTTTAATAACCTTAAATTTACAGATTCTCTGCACTGCACACTGCCTTTTTTAGCTTTTTGTAAAGTAAAAATAATTGCAGTTATTTTACAGTCTAACATTGTTTTCATTGTGATACAGGTGGAGGGAATAACATCAAAGATGTCCTCAATATTGAGAAGCTGCAGCTGAACGATCACACCAACAAAGCCAGTAAAACACAGGTAATTCACCGATCTGCTGTTCAAAATGCAGTAATACTTAACTGAACCTGTTCAGTAAATGTTGTAAGGTGACTTGTAGTCTTGGAGTTTGAGTTTTTATTTTTCTTTCTTCTCACAGCAGACAGAGTGGGCGTGTCCTTCATGCACTTTTATCAACAAACCATCTCGTCCCGGCTGCGAGATCTGTGCGACCGCCAGACCTGACACACACAGCTATGTCCAGCAGGTATGAGATACTCAACAATCACTGCAGTTGAGACACTCCTCCTAACATTTATCTGCACCGCAATCACCTTTTTTTCCCTCCCATGTCTCACAAAGGAGAAAGGAAGGCGGGAGGATCGCAAGAAGTCTGGTTTAAGCAGCAGCTGACTGCTCGTCATCACTGTGGGGATTTTTATTTCTCGCTCGCATACAAAACACGCATTCACACACAGAAAGTGCGGTGGCTAATTCTGCCACATAACATGTTGACAAAATACTCACACGGAGACGGTAAAGCGCACTGAGAGTCGTTTGAACGCGGGARCGTTGGAGGTGGCACGGAAGCGGAGCTGCGTCAGTCGAGGTTCAGACGACGAACTGCTGACGAGGAGCCTTTTGTCTGTTTATGTACTGACAACATGATATGATCACAACGTGCATCTCATCTGGCCAGACCACTTTGCTATTTATTTCAGAGGGCGTGTGTGTGTGTGTGTGCATGTGGTGCAATGAACACAAACAGCCTGATATTTATTTTAGGGGGAGAAAGGGGTTTTTAATTTTTTTTTGCATTTGATTACAGTTGAAGTTTAGGGAGTGTCATCCACAGCATCTGCTAACTGTGAAGCGAGAAGGGAGGTGAAGCCTTGTGCAATACTCTGTTAAACTGTCTTTTATGTCAGTGTCAAAATGTTCTTGAAAGTGAACAAAGAGAAAGCATGGTTTGTTTACAGGGTTGTCAAGATTTTTGTTTTTAATAACATTGTATTTAGTGTATTATTTTTACCAAGGTGCATTAAGTTTGATGTACATTTCAGCCAGTGGTTTTATTGTTATTAATTCCCTCTGAGCTGTGAGAGCTAAAGGATGATTTCAGTACATAATCTAAAGGTAAGAATCTTCATCTGTGTCTGGGTTTTTTTTTTTTTTGTTTTGTGTTCTTTGTGATTAGATGAGGAAATAATTTTAGATAAGCAGCAAGGTCCTAACTTATATGTATTATTTAGTGACTTCAGTTTGTATTTTCAAATTAAAATGGTGCAAAGACAACAAAAAAAAAAATGAAGATAAAAATATATAATTTCAATTTTTATGCCAGCAACATTAGGAGAGGCATGTGCTTAACATTTGCACAGCAGAGTTGTTGGTTAAAGTAAAATATTATTTTTGCTTTACATTGATTTAAAACAGGTCTGTACTGCAGACCACCTTATCACCTAGACTAGTTTAGTAACGACATTTTATTGACATATTGCTGAAACAAAAGGCTTCTCTGAAAAAGCATCTGTATGCTAGTTTATTATCTTTAAGAATTCTGTTGCTTACCTTAAACTTGGAGGCTCCAACCAAGCTTTTCAAACTGAATTTGAAGTTTAGATTCATCAAACTACAGGACAGATTTCCCCTTTAACTCTGTCACAAAAGCATTCGTGTTTATGGCTCTTGCCTTTTTTTTGTTTTGTATGGTTTTACCTCATTTGTTGATAATTTACCTGTTTGCTGTTCTCAAGTTTTTGCATGACTCAGCACACAAATAATGTAAAAAAATAGATTATTGAAGAAATATTTATATATTTTAAATTAATGGATAGAATCAGAAAATTTCCACATTTAATGTTACACAATGAAGCAAATCAGGTAAAACTTTAGGCAGTGTTCACTAATTATACGTAGCTTTTAAAGCTTTAAAAGTACAATAAAAGGCAAAAGATCTTTTCAAGTTTTTTTCCTTTATTTTCAGTTATAAAAATAAAATAAACAGGTTTCCAAAAAAAAACATTCAAACAAATATAAAATATTTAACAAAGTGATGGCTTAACTGCTTTAGATGTGCAGATATCTAAAACAAGTAAAAAAAAAATCCAGTTTGTTTTATTACTGCTCTCTGTTGTCGCCCTCTGATAAATAATTCCTAAACAAAACAGTGCCATGTTGCTTTTAAGGTATTTAGAAAGAAATTCAACCAAATCTATTTCCAAGCAAGAGACCTTTCACTTACGTTAAATTCTGATTTCTCTTCCCTTCAATCGTTTATATAATTCTTAGTTATATAGCACACAAATCAGTTTAGTTTTTTTTGTTCAAATTGCCCCTCAATGCGCATGTAATTAGTAAAAGTTATACCAAGAAAATGTACAAAAAGGGAGTGATTCTCTCCATAAGAACCGTTCCTTACCAAACACTTCAGTAGGTTTAAGCACTCCTCCTTTAGGTTTCCCTCAACAAATAAGCCTGAGCTCATCTCAGAGGGTGTGTGTGCGCTCGAGTCTTTGGTGAACCTGCATCTTACTTCCAGAAGAGGATGTTCCAAAAAAGCAGCCAACAGGGATACACCACCAAGGAAATGAGTGGGTAGACCAGAGACCCAAACAAATAGTGGTCCAGAATACCCTGCGAAATGACTGAAAGGTAAAGCACCCAGCCGTCTTGGGCACTGACGGGCGTATCCTGGAGCTCTCGGAAGAAAAAGACCGAGAAGAGAAGTGTGCATGCTGGGCTGAGGATGACGAAGGCAACAGCTGACAGAACCCTAAAACGAGGAGGGGAGAAAAAAAAGGGGGGTTGCATTGCATTTTGCTTCGGTATGGTTGCGATATGACAAAGACTGAGAAAARTATTACTTACTTAGGCACGTGTGGTGTGACAAAAGCAGCCACAGGCACCAGGGTGAGAGCCAGGATGAAGCCCAAGGAGAAGTTGATGAGGGCCGTGCAGCCCAGCAGCACAGCCAGGTACAGCACAGCGACGAGCTTTAACACCTTCCAGCCCTGCTCAGTCCCCTCACCAGAAATCAACCTGCGACACGTGATAATATGAATTACTCTGCAGCAGCACGGCTGCAAGGTTCAAAGTGTCTATACTGCTGTAAACTGTGCATCTGTTGATTCATGTAGGATTTTCTGCTTGTAGCATGATCACTTTATAGCCTCTGAGAATGCAGCTATATTCATAGAACCAGRGTTACTGTTTTTGTCAAAGGTACATGAAACCATATTTATGAGACGAGTATAATTAAAATAAAATAATCAATTAAAACATCCTATACCTCAAACTACATTTAAACTGCCGGTAAGTAACCCCCCCCAAAATCAATTTGTCAGACAAAAATATTCACAGTTATTTGCTCAAATTTAGGTGCAATTTCATCAGTTTCATCTGAATCAGTGTCAGCAACTACCTGTGTGTGTTATGAGGCAAAGCCAGGCCGGCTGTATAAACGGCAATAGCCGTCAGGACGACCGCTTCAGTTTCAGAAACGGGGAAGTGTTCGATGGCCATCTCCTGGAAACGGACTGGCAGCAAGTACAAAGCTGCTCCRGTCAGGTGGCTGATCACCAGAGGAGTCAACACCGACCGCACCCCTGGACTGGACTGCTGGGAGGCAAAAAAAAAAAAGGCTTATTTTTAGAAACATAACCTAGATTTGAATAAGWAGGGGGAAAAAATGCACTTCTTTGTATCTACATCAGTGTTTTGTGTCTAACCTGCTCAACATCTGCAATGCCATCCTCAGTTCTGGCTGGTGGCRTTGAAAGCTGAACCCATAAGTCCAAAGCCTGAGTCGTAGTCAAGGTGTAAAAACGTAAGGTCCCACCTGTAACATTCAATTTGTTGCACTGTGTTTTGTTACGCTTCATTTCAGGTCAGCTTAAAAAGGCATGAGAAATTATGATGTTAGGATACACGAAGCAGCAGAATAACGGCAAGGAGGCCGAAGGCCGGCATGTAGTATCCGATCGAGACAAAGTGGGTTAGCGATGGCATGAGGTAGAAGAAGTAAGACTGGTGAAGGCGCTCCAGGAGGTTGTTCAGCTTGCGATACATTCCTTCTAGCAGTCTAGGAGAATCAAAAACAAAACTTAATTACAAATAAATTCACGTTTGCTATGAAACTAAGAGCATACACGTATTAAAACTATAACTCTGACCTGCCTACGGTGGTAGCGTCAGTTTTATACTGACGGAAGCTGTTGATGCCACTGATGGTGGCGGCCTCTATGTGGTAGCGTAAGAAGAGGCCGTGGTCTCCCCAGGGCCGCCCGCTGGCCTGCTTCATCACCATCAGCATCATGGTCTGGACCGCATGGCTGTAGCCTGGCACACTGTCCCAGTCATTCCTTTGCAGCTATAAAAAAAAACAAACACATCCAGACATTAAAATAAACCAGCTCCATCACTGCTCTGGTGACAGATCAACTGACATGTCCACAAGCTTTTTACCCTGCCCTGGATGGTGCAAACAACTCCGATCTTCTGACAGAAAGCATAGAAGAGATTTGCTAAATCCAGGTTGGGTAGCTGGCCGTTGAGGCCTTCCAGCACTATGTCCAAACTGGTGACRACATCACTGCTGAGCTCCAAAGACAGGGCTGCCTGGATTGAACCGCCRCGGCCTTGTAACGGAGACCATTCCATTCCTAGAACAATTATGGAAATAAAAMCTCTGTGAAGAATTCAGCCATTTTATAATTCTGAGAACACGTATGCTTCTCAATAACTTCAGCGATATCTAGCGTTCATTTTTACCTGTAGTGTTGGTGTGGTGGTAACCCTCCAGCCAGGCCTGCATGCCGATCAAATCATGCTCATTCACAAGAAAGATGATGTCCTTGGCCCAGTAAACCTGATCTATAAAACAGAGTTCTCAGAACCTAGAAAAACAACTGCAACATCATCTCAGTGGTGTCTAACTGTGTTGGAGACAGCAGCAAATGTTAAACTTACTTCGAAAGTAATGTGCCAAGCCAAGCAGCAGCCCCACCGCCTGGTTGTTGTTGTCACCTGGACTGCAGGGAGCAGTGAGCACCAGGGCCTCAGTCCGGGGAGCTCTAGGGGCCCGAAGGATACCATAGACATTTGTGCCTTTCACAATCTAGTGAGAAATAGCAGGAAAAAAAAAMATTCATTTTAAAAAGTGAGGAGAAGTGGGAAAATGTTACACGGTTTGTGTAACAAGCTCACATATCTCTCCTTATTTTCATCGGGGAACGGTAGTGTGCGAGAGAAGCTCTGGGTGAACACTTCCAACCCTCGAGCCTGCATGGTTCTCACCAACCAATCCACYGGCATCCCACTGCAAAAAATAATAATTTAAAAAAGTAGATTCAAATAGGATCAGTTGTTATTAAGAATGTGGGAAGATTGAAATAACACAACAGAAACATACCCAACTTTCTTCTTGTGAGCTGCAAACTCTCTAGCTGTGGCCAGGGCCCTCTCCCCAGCAGGGAACCGCTCCTCCACCATGGTGGACCCCATGGCATTCTCTGACATGTATGTCCGCAAGGTGAAGGGCTCAAATGCCAGTCCCATGAACCAGCACACACCGGCACAGTAGCACAGCACACTGACATGTAGAGGCGGAAGACGAAGCATTATGCATTATAAAGAATGACAACATATATGGGTGCAAAGCTAATTTAAGCACATCAGGTTCTGATTCTCACCAGATTGGAGCATTGAGGCGGGTCAACATGCTGATCAAAGCCCGTCTTCTGTTTGGGTCTGACAACAGTCCCATGATGCCAGCTTTACCTTGATCTTTCTTGAAGCCTGGGTATACAGAGCAGCTAACAAATATGATTTTAATTCATTACTACTGCTAGAGTGAGCAATAACTGAAATAAAATAATTTTTAAAAATTGATTATTCTCAAAACGCTTCAATAAACACATGCCCATTTTTATTACTTTTTAATTTTCATTTAAAAATGAAGCATTTTGCTCAGCCATTCAGCAGCAGTAGCTTCATGCTAGCTAGTTCCGCACACAGGCTTCCCGAAATTGTAAATATTTCGAAGCGCTGACTTCTATTTATAGGGACTTTTGATATGAATTATTTACGGTGTTTTGATAATTAAAACGTATAAAAACATACCAAAAAGTGGCCACTCTCCGCTGTTTTAGGAGGTGCTGAATGTTTGCAAGTTCCTTGTTTCAGTGGGAACACTAATGCTGCGGACCGATTTCCGCTTTACCATTCTTCAAAATAAATGCAATTTGCACAATCCTCAAACTCAAAATACTGAGGAAGTTTGTAAAATCATTGAGTTTTTTGTACTCACATACTTTATTAGATTATACGCATTAGGTTTTTTATTTCAATAATCTTAGTAGTTTGTAATCTTTTCGTTTGGTTATCATAGTTTCAACTCAATATAACCTTAGCTTCATGATCAATATAAGCAATTATCAAAATTTCTATTTGATTCTGGACATATTAAATATGACAGAATGTGATGATAAACATAATAAAGGAGAACATGGTGTTGCATTCTAGGGGTGTAACAATACATCATTCTATATCGATATATTGATTTGAATGGTTCATGATTCAGTTATATCGAGGCAAAATGAAAATATCGATCTACATTGTCAACATATGCTTGATGTGAATTGATATTGTACGCCCATCTAACAGTCATTAAATATCGCATTATATTGATCGCAGACATGAATTGAATCGAAATCATATCGTGACAGACTTCGTAATAAGCGAAATATCAAATTGTCATCCAAACATATCGAAGTAATATCGTATCGTGATAAAGCTGGTGATTTACACCCCTAATGCATTCCTGATTGTGTCTGTTATCAGTCAGTGTTTATAAGGATGCTAAAAATCTCCATTTCATTTATCTCTTTCAGTGTTTACTTCAATAACTTACAACAATTTTAAGGCCTTGGAAAAAAATTCAAGGAATAAAACATAAAAACAAGACTTAAATTTACATATTTATTGGTACAGTCCAGTATATACAAAAGTACAAAGAAACAGTATGAATGAACACAAAGAAAAAAGCAGTTCACATATTAACAGTTCCCATATTCTCCTTTTCATCACTCTCTGGTGAGCACCGAGGCTTCCTGAAGATGCTGCCTCACCACCTCGTCCAGCACTTTGCTCACACCTTTACAAGCAGTCATTGCAGCTTCAATAAGTGATTCCAAGTGATCCTGATGCAGTCTGGCGTCCATCTGAACAAGGGCAATTTGTCCTCCTCTGGGCAGCAGCGCTAACGCCAAAGAGCTCACTCCTCCGCTCTCCTCTGCGTAGCAAAGGTCAGCAAGGGGGGTCTCGTCTACGAAGCCCACGGTGCAGGCGCACACGTAGTCTCGCATGGGGATGCCAGCATCAATCACAGCCAGGGTGGCAGCATTCACACAAACACTGTAGTTTCCTCCATCTGACTGCAGAATCTGAAAAAGTGAATACGTATATTTTAATAATCGCATTATTTGTTTGTTTCTCCTACAGGAAGCAACATGATAAACTTTCATTTTAAGTTGTACCTTGACATAAATATCAATTTGGGAGCGCGGGAAGAGCTGGGTCATCACAGCAGCTTCAAACGTCTGCTTCAGGTGGAGGCTCATCTCGGTGGATTTGCGGTCTCCGTGTGGTCTCCTTTTCCTCTCCGCCGTGCTGAACGTGGCCATGCTGTACTGGCAGTTGATAACCGCTCGATCGTGGAGGGTCCGACTTCTCGAACCACGCATCTAAGAAGTAACAGAGACAGTGACATCAGACCAAATGCACAACTACAGATGCTGTATCCTAATCCGGACTGTAAATTCAAATAGTTAAAGTGACTCACCAGCTGATCGTTATTTTTAAGAAAAACGTTTTCTACAATAAGCTACACATCTAATAACAACAACAATAATTATAACAATAAATCTGAGGACCAGGACAACTGATTTGACAGATCAGATCAGACCTGCTTTGGGAGCACATCAGATATGTACAGATTTGGTAGAAAACTTTTAATGCTTAGTTTTTTTTAGTGTATTAAATTCTAAAACTGCAATAACTTATGTTCAAATCACACCTTTAAAAAATCAATGTCAGCTGATCTCATGTAGACTACCACTGATTTAATGTTTAATGAGCTGCTTTTCACTTAATCTACACTGTCTAGAAATGCAGTTTTGACTCTAATTTGATTGGATCATTTTTGCAGTCCTAATAACATGTAAGAGGAGGAGCCAACAGATATGCTAATGCTAGTATGGCTCAGGCTAATTATATGCTACTGTACCCAAGAACTGATACGAATATTCTATTAGCATATGTGTACAACGCTTTATAATATGTACTACTTTGAAAACTTGTTGCAACAGTGCCTTATCTTTATGAACGTAATGCTCATTCATTTCCTCCTTCAACACCGACGCTTCTTACCTCATGTGGACCGTAAACCACAGCCAGAGCCTTCGTGTTTCCCTGCTCTAAATACGCAGAACCGTCAGCCTGGGCGAACACACCCATGCGGGCCTGAACCTTCCGCAGCTCGGTGGCTTTTCTTCCATCCAGACGGTATCCCTGATCAGACAGCAACTCCAAACCCGCCATGTTTCCACCGCGAGCTTCAGCAACAACCGAGCAGCGACGTAACGCGACACGTGCCCTCCGCTACACTACATTACCCATCAGCCACTCGCAGAAAATGAGCTACGGCAAGTCCAAAGGGCAAAAAAAAAAAAAAAAAAGAAAAAAAAGAAGGTCGTCTTAAATCTAAATGTTTGTTGGATTAAATCATTGCTCCTTCGTTGTGACAGTTTCATTCAGGTAGTTATTACATTTTAGACAGCTAGCTGCAATAATTTTTATCTCCCCACCCTGAACTGCTACAAAATATTAATTTTGTTCCAAAAGGGATTAACCGAAGTCAGAGAAAAGAAAACTCTTCTCCTGAGATCTCTGGTAATCTGTAAATCCATATTAAAATCAACTCACTAGCAAGGAAGTTAAATGTGAAATAGGTGGAAATGCAGGAGGAAACAGGAGGCTCAATAATGAGATTACCAAACTTCAACACTTTTAAAAATAAAATTTATTAGCATCTCTAATGTGTATAAATAAAAACAAATATGTAACAATGCATATATGTATAATGTAATGAGCTTAACAATAACAGAGTTACATGTGATACAAAGGAGCAGTCATTAGTTTAGCTAGTGTATTGTTGGGAAAAACTGTACTTCCAAAATCAAGCCTTCAGAGGTATATCTAGTCGTGGCAAATCTACATTCTTTGACAAGAATGACAATGTTTCTGTGGTGAGTAACAGAGAGAAAATAACCTATTAGCATTTCTGCCTTAGTCTTAAAAAAAACTTTAAAACATATTTCAATACATAAAATCAAATAAAGTTTATTCTTTTTAGCTTGAACTATGAATGTTAAGGTGGTAAAGCCTCAACATTATTCACAATGACCTCTTCAACTTTACAAAACACTCAATAAAAATCTAAAAATGATTTTGCTTGACTCTTATTCCACTTACTCAAGTCGCCTTGTTTCACAGACTTGTAACAAAAAGGGTCCAATGCAGATCTCAAATCTAGGGACAATAAGACTAATGTTAAACACAATAGGAAAAACAGCAAATAAGAATTTTAACATGTAACTAATCAACCCAAATGGATCAGATAAAAAAAATAATGAATATGCATTTTAATAATGCAAGGCCAATGAACTTCTGAGATGGCTTGATCAGCCTGGGTCAGAACAAAAGAATAAATAAAAGTAAAAACGAATGATTTTGTGGGGTTTGAGGACTTAGCTCTCCTAAGGCAACAAGCTACGAAAGGACAGGACCTTTCTTCTTGGGTCAACTTTTTTTTTTATATATTTGGTCATGCTTTAAACCATCATGGTATTAAAATGTCTTTGAATATTGACAGATATGCACATGAGACCAAATCTACTTGTGTCTGCTGGCTTCAACTAAATTGGATGTGGACTTTAATACACAAAGCGGATGGCAAACAGAAAAAACACAAAACCCACTCAAAGTGTATAAAACTGCTAAAGAGAAGTCGGTTATAGTACRTTGACTAGTATTGGCCACAGTCAATAATTCTTCCTTTTTTTTCCAACAACAAAAAACAAACAACAAAAACAAAAATACTAAGCACATTTTAGTTTTGATAAAAAATATCCAAGACTAACTGCCTTCAAAATAAAAAAAGAAGAAAACAAAAGTGATGTGTCTGATTCGATATGCAGGTGTTTGTGACGCTGAGGGGTTATCGACACTCAAGGGTCATGACAACTTCATTCAACCTTGTGGAATGAAGGGACTTTGTAGATCTGAAAAATAATAATAATAATAATAATAATAAGATGGTCTCTGCTCCATCCCAAGTCTTTAAGAAGAGTGCAAAGATCCCCTTATTTTCCCTGATATATCCACGTTCTTGTGTCTCAAAACTCGGCAAACTCCTTTGCACATTTTTCCGTTAAAGAAACACGGATTTCCTCTTCTTCGTAGTCATCAAAGTTGCTTGTGTCACCAGGTCCTCTGCACTTTGGTATGAATGGAGCTTCAACCTGCAAGAGCAAGAGGTGTAGTCATTTTACAGGGTTATACTGCCTGGCACAGGAGTGGGAAATTGCTTCACAGAGAAAAATAAAAATAATAAAAAAAGCCAAAGCACCTGGAAACCAGTAAGAATTATTTAAGGGAACACACACTGTATCAATACACAAAAACACAAAGAGCAGAAGTTTTACATTTGAACACTAATTAACCTCAGAACTCATTATTGGTTCATCCATAAATGTTGCAGCACTAAAGCCCCTTGATATTTTTTATTCTTTGTAAATAAAAATAACTCACAGCCAGTGAACAAGTATTCAAAACTCTAAAAAGGTTAAGCTCGTGTTCCTGAAGTAAAACTAAATTTGAATCTAAATATTTAGAATGCCATTTCTCCAGACTTGCCAATCCACCTCCATCAACTCAATATTTGCTAAACACAGGCGTGTGTTTGACTGTCCCAGAAAAGACAGAAACAGGGACTTATTTCATGTTTGTGTGCAAACTAGCACATCTAAACAATGAGCCGTCATGACTGACTGGAGTTTTTGTAATTCTGTTCACCAAATTTACATGAAAAAAAAAATTCAATCGTCTCATCCATGAAGACAGGATTTCTCTACCTTTTATTTTAATTATCAGTAATTGACTGAGGGGTAAAAACCCATGATCAGGGCAACCGCAACACCAAAATARAAACAACAAACAGAAAAACAGGCTTTAAACAAACTTTTTTTTTACAATAACAAAAATTATGTCCAGTTCACAGAATATAAACTTGAATTGTACACAAAATAGGAAATATTTTCACCCAAGTTACAGACGAAATGTGCTTGTAGTTGTTTATTTTATTTCTTTTAGAAATCTCAAAAATTTATTGTCTAATAAAATATCAAAATAGAAAAAGAAAAAAGAAAGAAAAATGGAAACACTACATAAAGCCTCACTAGAATGGGTGCCTAAAATGAACCATTGTCATAGAGGACAGGAAAAAATAAWTAAAACTGTTGAAACATCTTCAATTTGCTTCAAAAGCAAACATTACAAAAAAATTAAAACATAAATTAACCAAAAAGAAATAATTTGGTTTGTATAGTGTAATGTTTGGTACGTGAAACTGTGTCTGCCGTCTTACCTTTCGTTCATAAATTGCGATCCAGTCTGTTGTTGCGAACCATTTGTGACCCTTGATGTCGTTGACACCGTTCTTCAGGTTGCCGTAACGTTTGGTCAAATCTACCTGCAGCAGGTTTCTCAGCAGGTCCTTCAAATCAGAGCTGAAGTGGGAGGGGAATCGTACCTGGGAAATACACAAGTATTTGTGGCTATCCGTTATAACAATTTACACCCCACCTCCCACGACTCCCATTTGTACAAAAAAGAACATTCTCATTCAAAATTATACAATGAAAGATCCTTTAAAAGAACAGCCTGCTTACCTTTCCAGACACGATCTTTTCATAGATTTGAATGGGCTGATCGGCAAAGAACGGAGGGTAACCAGCTGCCATTTCATAGATGAGAACTCCGAGTGCCCACCAGTCCACAGCTTTGTTATAACCCTAAAAAGACAAAACGCATTTTCATGTAGCTCAAAAATAGAAGACAAAACAAAAGCACTTTTCTCACTCAGAACTAAATTAGACAATTATCCCGTTTTTAGTGTTCCTTCTTAAGAAGTATTTTTAAACTTGAGAAGATTTTTTATATGAATCCTACATCAAATTATACTAAACAATACCATTCAAACAGAGCAGGTCTGTTTCAACAAATAGTTTTTTTTTGGCATTAAAATGATATATTTTGCACCACTAATCTGATACATTTTGAAAGTTTATTTTACATTTTTAGCAACTGTCAAAAATACATTCGATGTAGATTTCTTTAGTGAAATCAGGGATTATTCCAATTTAAAAGGAGGTCCTAAAAATGTTGATTTAAAAGTTATCTATTTTGTTCTTTTTATTGATGAGGTATAAGGTGAATATTAAAAACCAAACAGTTTTAAATTCGTACTTTGCTGAGAATGATTTCAGGTGCCAGATACTCTGGTGTTCCGCACAACGTCCAGGTTCTGCCTTTTACTCGTTTGGCAAATCCAAAGTCTGTCACCTGGAAGTCAAGAAGACAAACTGTATTCTCCGCTCCCACAAATGAAGAACTGAAACAGCAGCATGGCTTCATCATTTGCATTTTCGCTCACCTGAATGTAGCCGTGGTGGTCAATGAGAAGGTTCTCTGGTTTCAGATCTCTGTAAATGAGGTCTAGCGAATGCAGGTATTCAAAGGTCAGCACTATCTGGGCAGCATAAAATCGTGCGTGTGGTTCACTGGACAAGAAACAAAATGTTAAACTTAGACACCACTGTGCTTTAAATTTTAGCATTCAGTAACTAAAATAATAAAGCTCACCTGAACCTTCCAATTCGTCTTAAATGTGAAAACATCTCTCCTCCTGGAACATACTCCATTACCATGTACAAATTGGAGTTGTCCTAAAGATAAAATTAAAAAGGACACCTAAATATTCCAGTCAGCAATTTCAGTTTCTAATTTTTAAACAAAGCACACTGTACCTTAAATGCGTACTCAAGTTTGACGAGAAACGGAAAGCTCACTGCTTGCAATATTCTCTTCTCATTTAAAGTGTGTTCTATTTGCTTGAGTTTCACCACCTGACAGACATGGAGATAAGATGGCCTCATAAGACAATTCTCTTTTACATTAGCAATAAAGTTAGAGGAACCCTGAAAGCAAAGGCTGCTTTTATCTATTAATATTTTATATAACTTGAGTCCCCAAACTAACCCCTTAATGCAATGCATAAAAGGTTAAGACAACATTTTTTAAATGGATTTCGTAATTTTGTTGACTGGGGTAAGTAGCCCCCAACTTTTATTGACCCAAAAAATTTACTGCTAGTGTCAACTTCCTTATTTGTTTGACAATTCTCTTTGAAGCCTTCTAAAGTTGCCACCAACCTTCTGCTTGTCCAATATTTTCATGGCAAAGAAGTGCTCTGTTCCTTTGTGTTTTACCAGCATGACTCTTCCAAATGAGCCGGTACCCAGGGTCTTTATCCTGTCAAAGTCATCTAGGCACGTTGTGCACTGCAAAAACAACCTCAAGTTAATACACTATTTACAAAAGACTGGTAAAGGTCACGTTCAGCTGCTTATCTGGCTGACCTGTGGGGGGCATTCCCATTTCCGTAAGAAGTCTTCTTTGGCTTTGGCTAGGAACTCTTTTACTAAAAAGAAAAAAAAATGGAGTGCAGAGTGTAAGAGTTGGCACACAACAAAACTTTGGTTACACGAACAAACAGCATACTCGGGGTTATAATTAATTTAGCAAACACATTAAGGAGAAGGGAAAGGGAAGAAAAGTTGGGATTTTAAATTAAATTTGTAAGTGAAACAAGTAGAACACAGGCAGAGAGTCACAACTCTCATCTGGATATAAAATGAAAGGTATTATAAAAACCATCACTGCTTTGTCTAAGGAGAGGGCAAAACACAAACACAAGACATTCACAGGCAGACAAGTGATGCATGCCAAGAAACTCTGTGTTCTCTGTTATTTATTAGCCTCATTCAAAATGAAAAATAAAAAAATAAAATAAATAAAAAACACTTATAAAAAGGCACAAAATGTAGATTTTTCTAGGCATATTGAGCATCACTTATTCAGTTTTTAGGGACCGTTATTAAACACAGCTTAAAAAAGAAGAGCAAAAACAAACCAATGTATGAGAAACACAGCAGACCGTGGATATCCAGATTGAGAGTATGCAAATAAACAACAAACCAAAAAAAAAGTATAATTAAAGTATAATTAAAGCACAATTAAAAACAAAGTCACATCTAGCAGGTTTTCACAATGAAACCAATGCAGTTCTGGTCATCTTTTTTGAGGAATCAGCATACCAAAAGTCTCTACAGATCACCATGGTTTTGCAGGAACAATCACCCACATGGATGGAATGATACAGAAGAGAAGACAGAGAGAAATACAGAGTTCATGTACAAAAACAACAAGTATAACACAGCAACAAACAAGAAGCATGTGTTGTGAACAGAAGCGAGAACAATGAGGAAACCGTTGACAGTCACCTGAGGAATTTAGGCAGAGAGACTAATTGTCTGTCGTGGTAGTCGAAGAACCTGTGTTCCAGAATATCATGTTCCACAAATTAAGTCATGCACAATAGAACAGATTAAAAGGATAACACACCTAAATGTTAAATAATGAGTGTTCTAAGGCATTAGGACTTTATTAAACTGATTGATATTTGCTGTTTTAGTATGTCTTATTTATTTTGTAATAAATCTAAATTTGTGATAAAAGTGCTTAGAAACAAAACCGATGCAAAAAAAAGTAATTTTAAAAAGTATTTACCGGTAGATAACAATATTTGTAATTCAAGACTCTTCTTTTCTGAGTTATTGTGGCAAACTGAAGATAATAGCTTACGTCTTGAACTTTGCTAAACTAAGACTGTCCAAAATATGATTATTTGTGAAGCAGAAATCATAAGAAGTTCTGCGCTTTTTTCTTATTAAATCACTCCTCTACAAAAGCAAAATGTTTACACCAAATAAGCATCTAAAAGTCACACCCAGACCACTTTAAACAGTTTAAAAGTATAAAGGTTTAGCTTTTGTAGCTTATGGGAAAGAGCTCTAAAGTTTCCGCACTTAGACAAGTGTCTCAGGGATCAATGCCAACATTCAGCAGAGCAGAACATGGTTGAGGTTTGCCGCCTGTCCTGAAGCATTCCAGTGTGAACACGGTACATGGGCACTGCCTAATAAAATAGGTGTCACAACAGCAACTGTTAAATCCAACTGTGAGTGTGCAGATGCTCGCTGAAGCGTTCCAGCCAGTGACATCTGTATACAGTAAATACGGGAAACATGGCACTGTAGGTTACCAGGTCATCTTAGTAGAAGCTTCAACTCCAGAACAAATCTGTAGCTCGGGCCAGTATATCAGCTTAAACAGGTTTGATAGTTAGCCACAACTCTGGATCTAGGGATCACAGCTGAATTCAAAACAAAAGCTTGCTGCTATAGATACCATTACCGATCTGATTATTTCTGTCTGCTTGTGAGCTGCTGTCTGTTCACAGACCAACAAACTCAAAACATCATAAAGTGATGTTACTTTAAACAGATTCGACCTGCAGCAACTGCATTTTTAAAATAAAACTGTATGAACTAGGTTGAACAATCCCATGAATTTCAAATGAACAAGAAATCCCCACATCTGCGTTCACACGGAGGCACAAAGGGAAACAGTTGTGATTTACAGCGTGAGGTGGTCAGATGCACACATCAAGGTACGCGAGACTAAAGGAACACTATCCCAGAGTTACGTCAAACCTTTCAAAGCTTTGTAATACTCCTTATCCTCTGACGAAGGTCTGATGACAAGCTGCTCCAGTCAATGACAAGCGGGGTGTGAGAAGTGAACCCTGGTAGACTTCTACCACAACCAGATTAGGGGGGTGGGTGAAGGGGTGTCAAAACAAAAGTAGCATGACTGAGGTGCTGTTTGCTTCATAAACTGGACAGGCTGCAGTTTTATGAATGAGAAAAGGGAATGTGTCATTTCTTCTCCATATTTGGTTGTGGTGCTGAAGAGAGGGACGGCTTTGTTTATGTAGCCTAGAATAAAATGTGGCAGTGAGGCCCCGGGGCGGAAAACAGTCCCCACTCTCTCTCTCTCTGCCTTCAAATAGAATTGAATGCCTATTTATGACAATTATTCACGGGTCTGTGGTTTATTGCTGCAGATTTAGGATCATCGGAGCAGAGTTTGTGTCTGACACAGCTGGCTGTGCTGAGAAGAGCCTGCAGCCAAAACGCACAGCAGGAACCACATTCCTCACAGTTAGAAGTTCAAGATGACATCGAGCCTGCGGTGTTGGGATGGAGCTCGACTTTGGGTTTTTAACCTGTATCTAAAACACACACACACKGACATGAAAACACTGCAAGCTGTGGCTAACTTAACGGGCCTCAACAACTACCACMATCAGGAGGGAGTGAAGGGCCTTCTGAGGGCTAATCCCCCTCCCTATTAGGGCTAAAGTTAGCAAGTTAGCTTGTTGAAAGTTTGATTATTTCCGAGCTCCAGCAGACATGCAAACGCCCATTAAACGCTTGAAGCTGGCAGCGTTTGTAGAATCATCAAGAAAAAAATCTCTGACAAGTCCTCCATATGCTTTAACAGCCTGTTTACACTCCCAAGTGCTCTATCCCCTCCCCCGTGGATGCCAAGACAGACTTGTGCCCTAGCCTGGACTATTTGCTAATTTTAAACGCAAAACAAACGCCACTTTATGAAGGCTTGGTGGAACGCGCCAAAAATAGGAGCAACCAAAAAAAAAAAAAAAAAAAAAAAAAAAAAAAAAAACACGACCAGCTCAAGCAAGCGAGAAATAGCAAACAGGACTCACCGCTCTCCAGCTCGTTACCCTTCTTGGCGGTGGCAGCGTTCCCCATGGTGTGTGGAAGACACGGCGGACGCTCCGAGGAGATGGCGGCGGCTAGCTAACCTTCCAGTTGGTGTTTTATTCGAGGTCTCTCAAACAGGGGAAAAGCAAACCGATACAAATATTTAGTCGGTTCAGAAATGAGGAAATAATGTACCGTATCCCTTCCGCCTGCCCTTTCACTCTTCCCCGCTAGCCTCCCCCTCCTTTCCCCTGAAATATTTCCGCTGCTACTTCAGTGATGTCTGCTCGGTTGACATGAAGCTAGCGGTCACTTTTGTGTTATGGCAGGCCGTTGTACCATATAAGCAAATAACAGTTCTCTCAGCTGTTGTAGTTATATCATTCCATCTAGTCAAATTTGCCATTCTTGCTGTTGTCAGAAGTTAAATTTACGGTATTTAAATGAAGGAATATTACAACTAAATTTATATATCTACGGATTTTTAAAACATCAAGGCGGCTGTTTTAACATTTAACGGCTATAACATTGGAAATACTGTATATCCTCCTGAAACCCAAGGTAAAAACGTATTTTGATATTTGTTTTTATATTTATCAAGTGTTAAGTAAAACAAATACACACATATATTAAAAAGTCAGCCTATTATGTTTCCAGCACATTCTTGTCATCTGAATAAACATTGCTTATCTAATATAGAGGAACTACTAGAAGATACTTGCATTTTTAAACTCTATATCATCACTGTCACTATAATAAAATGAAACTCAGGACTAGCTACAAGGGGATCATATATGATTGTGATGATGCAACTCAATAATATAGGTAGAAAAAAAAAAGTTAAACAGGTCCTCTGGATGAGTTCTTTTTTTCAAAGAAGAACCAGATGATCTAATACGTTCCAATTTCTGAATGTGAGTTCCTCTTTATAGGACATCTGTTTTAGACATGCACAATCTTTGTTCTAGAAGGAATGTACTCATATTGACRTGCAGTTCTGTAATGTGGATCCACATTTAAAGTAAACAAAGTCTGAATCCACTGAATACCACATGGAAGATTATATGTGACTGACCTGCACTATAATGGCTGTAATCAGTGTATATTTAAAAAAAAACATACTGGACAACTGTAGAAGCTCTATTTGCTCATTTTGAAAAAAAAGTATATATATATATA